CCTAATTTCAAATACTTTCTAACATATATCTGACCTACATTCAAAACTCTCCCTGGATGACTTTTTTTTTCTTACTCGCCACCTCATCAACATGTCACTACAGACATCAGCTAAGAAAAAACAAAAAACACTTAGAACTGGGTGGTGCATTCAGACTTTGTGCAGTGGATTCACTAATGGATTCTGACTTTTCTCTCCCTCTCTGGGGGAAAAAGGGTTGAAATTTAATTTGTCACGGGAATAGTTTTCCTCCCAGGGGGGACAGAAGAGAGAGAAAAATCATCACAGCGATTTGCAAACCATTTACTGCTATATACATGCTTTCATTCATTTTGGCACGTAAGCAGGAAACTGAGCCGTAAATCATAATCTACAAAGTCTATTGATATTGGTACTTAATTTAAAAGAAAACTCTTGTTAATATGCATCAGTCCTGTTTTACATTAGCCAAATTAACATATGTAGGATTTTCTTTCCATTCAGAGTGAACCGAATAAATATGAAAGCTCTCCCTCCGCTCCCAAAAAGCACATATATTCATAAAATATACAAAATTAAAAATGTTGAGATTTGAGTTGTGTGCATTTAGAGCTTGCAAATCTCTTTGGAGTTAAAGTATATCCTGTTTATCATTTATGACCTGAGAAGAAAATGAATAAAGTCTGGTGTCAGTGTGCAGATGAGTTACTCGTGTTATGGGGACTTAAATCTCCCTCGCACCGTTTGGACCTCCCACAGTTAGTTGATGAAAAGTCCCACCAAAGTAAATCTAAAACTTTAAATATGCATTGTCTGGGTTTTGATTGAAGAGCAACTCAGACCTTGAAGTCAGACTTCTGCACGATTGTGAACGACACACCATGATCAAACCAGGAACAAGTAGCCTGAGCAGAAATAGAGAAGAAGCACAAAAATATGTGCTTTTCCCAGAAAATAGTGATTTAAATTTATTTTCCCCTCCAAAATATACCAGTTGAAGTCATAAAGAAACTACTCCATGCTTCAAGTAGCAGTTTTGGATGCTTTACAACGATAAGCTATCATTTAAAAAACATAATTCTCTGTGGACTTGTCTGCAGAGTTAATTTGAGTCTGCAGGCGTTTAGGTTTCGGGGAGCTGGTTGATAAAGAAACACATTCGGTGTGGTCCTTTATCAATCAGAAATAAAGGAACGCACCTTTATTCCTGGTGTGTTTTTTGCAAGCAAAGAGCGATTATTCTTTACTTGTATAATCTTTACAAGTAATAAAAAGAGAATGAACAGCCTTTGACAGCCCCAAGTAGCTCCACAAGTTCTTCCTCCCATTGAAACAATGACAGGCGTCAATAAAGAACTTCGAGACAATGAGCTTCCATTTGAGTCACATACAGGAAATGTTGTAAGAAGCTGAAGATCAAACAGTTCAGTTCAGATTGAGGAAGCATCCTGTTTTGATGACCTTCCTGCCCTATAAATTATTGTGATGTTTATATAAAAGCACTTAACCAGTAGTCTCCAGTTGTTGTGGAGCATTAAGGTTCATAGTAGGGTATTAATCTTTTACCCACCACTGTAATTTATTTTCTCAGGTGAACTGGCCATGATTATCAATCTGTAGGCTCAAGCGTCGGTAATTATCCTCATACCTGATACAGAGTATGAGGATAATCAGAACTATCTTTCCTCCAGTGCCACATTATTATGATGAGAAATTGGAAAACAATATATATTTAGATACTTATATTTCCTTATTGCTTCTGTCAATGGGGAATCCTCCTCAACAGGATCTGAAGTGATGCACTTTGATTTCTCTGGGACAGTTTGAATTTCTTTCAAAGGGCAAAGAGAAATCTTCTTTTTGTCTTGGGGCAAAATTATGTGTTATGTTTTTATTGAGTCAAATTTTATTGCTTGTGTTTGTAATTTTTGCATCAAAACAGCACAATTTATATTGGAAATGTGCAGAATCCTTTCAGTTCAGTAGATGTAACATGAAACTCCTTAGTGAAGCAGAAGTGTGGACCAAAATCTCTCCACCTTCAAGAAAGAAAACACAACACAACTTTTAATATTTAAATCGACCCTTGTTGTGTGTTTTTATGCATAATGTTGGATTGTTTGATTCTATATTTTTGTACTCCTGTAAAGAGTCTGTGAGTACTTAGAAAAGTGCTATAAAAATAAAAATATTATTATTATTAGTAGAAATATAACATATAATTTAGTTTCAGTTATGATCATGATCAATATTGATATTTTTGTTTCTTTTGTTTTTCCAAACTGTTGTGTATTCAACGCAAAACTGGCACAAAAAGACAAAACAAACCTGGCAGAGTTACGTATGTATAAATAAACAAATCATTTTGTGAACTGAAATGAACAGAATTTCTAAAACTTGTACTTGGTGCGAGAACCAACGAAATTACTCAGTTATGTTCTGACATATCAGGTTCACAAACTGGCAAATTCTCTCATCCTGTAATGGAAGCGCTGTCGGCTCCAAACCGCGCAGTGAAGCCTGCGTTTAATGACAGGAAATTACATTGTCTGGTTGGTACTGCAGGTTGCGCCGCGTCCATTTCTCAGCATGCAAGAGACAGAAGCATTGCACAAAATCCCGCCCCGGCTAAATAACCCGGCGCATTTTGGTGTTTTGCTCAACATGTGCAAAAGATAAAAAAATAAAAAAAAACTCAGTCTGACAGACTAATGAGGTTGAAATGGAAACTTTCTGTGCCGCAGCACTGGGACATAATTAATGAATACACACGCAACAGCTGTCTGCACACTCATAAACATGTAAGCAAAAAAAAACAACAAATCCTAACATCTGTCTAAACAGGTTATGGGATGTGCTGCGCATTGACTTTAATTCACAACAATTCAGCAATTACACTGCTACACACTCATCAGGATATAAAGTCCCTTAAAAACCAGCTACTAATGTTATTTTGGCATCATTACACCTTAATTAAGAAATCATTTTGGTCTTTGGTGATGGGAACTTGCATCAACCCTACATTAGCCCTGTCCATGTTTTTCTTTTGGATTGTGTGATTACTGCCACGCTTGCACAGTTTGTTTTATTATTACTATTATTTGGAAAGGTTACAACCACAGTAATTGAATCACATTCTAACCATCACAATTTGCATTACTATTTTGTATTCGTATCATATTTGTTTCCACAGGAAACCCCGTGCAACACAAGTTAACAAACCAAATAAAGAAATTGACAATAAAGCAAACACATGAGAAAGCATACAAAAAAAAAGAAGAGCTCACTGAGTCAGCAAAAATTTAACTCTTTAGAGGCAGAAGATTTAACAGCCTTGGAGCCAAAAGCTGAAAGACGCAACGCTTCTTAGTTTTCACTCTTATATGAGGAGAAACCAGCCGATGATGCGCCTGGGATGTAGAATTATCAGTGCTTTGAAACGAAAAGGGTAAAAAATAGATTCAGTGGTTATCGTACTCGTACCTTGACTCATACTTAAGTATATTTTTGGCAGGTGTTAGAAAACTACACATTTTTTGAAACCATCAATAATTCTTACAGCTTAATTCAAAGCAAGGACTGAAAATTTTGAATCGAGTTTAGGTAAGGGAGGGGAACGTTAGCCGGCCTACATCCATTTCAACTCCAGTTTTGAATCATGTTTGCAATCAATGTTCAGTTTGAGAAAAAAAAGCATCATCATGCTCAGACTCAACCATCCAGTCCTCTTGAGGTACAAACCTTCAAGTTTTAGAGGAATCCCTTCTCTATGACAGCTGAAACAAATGAACGTCGAGTATCCCGGTGTCCACAGAGCTAAATGAATCCTGGTTTGGATTTACCGTGTTTTCTGGACTATAAAGCGCACCTTCCTATAAGCCGCACCACAATTAAAAATAAAATAAAATAAACAACTGGAAACATACATATATAAACCTCACTGGGCTATAAGCCGCTGGTTTTTCTGTTTCTCTCGGTTTTCCGGTTATAATCTGCTATTAAGGAAGCAGCCAACGCCGAACCACGGATTCGTTCTCGCCAAGCTTTAAGTGCAGCGGCTATCGAAAATACTGAAAACAAACATTAGCGTAACGTGTCTCATTTTAGCACACGTTTACCTTCACTGAAACTGGATTTTATGAGTTCGAACTGTAAATTGCAAACATTTAACAAGAAGCAGTTCAACACCAGAGGTTAAAAACCCCCGACAGCAATTACAATAAACCGATAAATGATAAAGTAATACCAGCATTGACTTGGTCGAAAATTGAGAGGAATGATAAATCCTACATCTATTTCATCCATATTCACACAAATCTGAATCAAGTCTGCATTATATGAAAACATATAATTTACCATTATGATTGTTTCCTTAAACGCCACTTGAACCACCAGAGTTAAGGGATTTTGCTGAAGTTAGAAAACTCATGCTCTTGGCCGCACGTTCAGGAAAAACTCAAATTGCGTGATTATCTAATATGCAGAAAATTATGATAAAGAATCTGGTAAAATATCTCGCATTCAACTTGTTGCTTCTGAAAACTCATTGGAACAAAAACTGCCCCCTCGCATCACACCGACCTAAAAGTCCTGGTACTTTGAACCACCACATGAGGTCACTGTTTTACATAGATATCAGACCCTGTGAAAGCTCAAAGATCATTTTCATTTTCAGTTTTGCATTTTCACAATCTGTTTGTGATCACCGTCCAAAAATACCCAGTTACATACCTGGAGCACTTACGTTACTCCCAAATAACCTTACCTTGTAGATTGTCTTTTTTTTTCAGATTCTTTGCCTATGAACTCAAAAGCCCAGTTTTCTTTTGTCACAAAATCCATTTTTTTATTTGACCTTGTTCCAAGAAGGCTTTCTAATTTCAAGAGTAGTCAATTAAGACTGTTTTGATGCGGGGAGGGAGAGTTTTAAAAGCCTCTTTAAAATCATAATGGCTGATTATCAGTGCTAGCACAGTGGAGTGCACTTCACAGTTAGAGCCCATTTCAAATCAAATGCCCACCTGTCTTTTGCCTGTTTGAATTTCTGTTGACTCACGATCCCGGCGCATCATTCGTTCGTGCCGTCGGCCACTTTCGCATGTGCGGCTGAGAACGTGTTCTTGTCAGGAGTGTGGCGAGCCTGAACACACATGCAGATAATGTTCTGTGCTCCTTTTCCACAAACTTCAGTCTCGACCAATGACCGTCTGTGGTCCCGACACGCCACCCCAAGTATTGCCACACACAAGCACACACACGCAGACATTCCAGTGGCTCTGTGTTGTTCACCCTTTACTTCCACCACACTCGTATAACCAAACACTCACATACCACTGAACCCACTGTTAGGGTCACCCTAAGGGCAACATCCCAGTGAAGAAGTTTTACGACTATGGGGCAAGAAAAGAGAGTGAAACTATATTATGGGAGGAAAAGCAAGAAAAAAGTCTGGCATGAGTGACAGAACATTGCCATCAGGCTTTTAGGTTTCAGGTACTCCCCTCACCTCCTCTTTTCTTTTGTAAATAGTAAATTTCAAAACAGGTTTCCTACTGCCACTTGGCTTAAATGACCTCTCTGGTCTGTTACTCTGGAATGAGACCTCAGCAGTTTGCAACATTCACAGTGCAAAACACTCGGTTGAGCCTCCCAGGAACATGCTGAGGTGTTGTAATGTTAGCTGTGAGGGTAACTAGCATGGCCACTAACGACAGGGAGGGTGAAAGCACGAGGTTGGTGGGTGGTGTGAATTTTCAGTGATCTGCCAAAGTGCTGTCGTCCAGCAGGAGCAACAGGGGATATTTGTTTACGACGCATGATGCACGGACTGAAGGTTAGATCACGTGAAGCATCTCAAAAACTATTTCTGAGAAAAACAACCTTCTGTGAATGTTTTTCATGTTGGTTTTACCTTTTTTTTCTTTTTCTTTTTTGTTGGGGGGGACAAATTTTACTCACACCAACCACCTTGTTAGACACAGCTTGACTGTAAATAATTGCCTTCACCTGGCTTAATTACACCGTATCTAGAATCAATGAGGTGTCAGAAACTATCCTCGAAGATTCATGCAAGAGATTCTGCAAATGAAATGTGTCAGGGCTCCCATCCGACACATTTCAAATGTGCCGTGTTAATCGAACTGCACCGCAAAGAAGAAGTCACATTCAACACACCCGTTTCAAAGGATCTGATTTCCTTCCAGTCCCTTCTAATTGTGAGGGATCGTTACTCTCTTGCTAAGTTGACCTTATTTTTGATTAAACGGACTCATCAGCTGATGAACCTCTGCAACAGGTAGAAGATTAAATGATTCACTTTAAACCAATATATGTTTTTTTAAGTTTGGGGGGATAAGACACAGAAATAACCACATAGGACAAGTTACAGACAGATTTGACATGTTATTTAAAGATTTATTTTAAAAGAAAAGAAAGCTCCTCAATAAGATTTGTTATAACAAAGTATCTAAATACAGGCAACTGAGGTATATCTGTCATCCTACAAATAGAGAGAAATGGAGGATAAATCGAAGAACAGTGGCAAAGAAAGCAAAAGATTGAGCGAAGGAAACCAAGACGGTAAAGAGTTGACATGGCAGACATGCTGGTGGAGTGGTTGACGGTGGTGAAACAATTTTTCTAATATATAAAAAAGCTGAGTTTTCCACATTTAGGGACCCAGAATTACAGTTTCAGCTACATTTGAACCAAGGAGAACATGGGAGTCCATAGTTTATGCTGTTGTGTTGAGCAAGTGACCCATTCAATCAGCTGAAGAGGTTAGTTGTATGAACTGGCCAGATGTTGTGAGCTCAACTCCTAAATCTTAAAAACAAACCTGCCAAAACTTGTAATTTTTTTTTTATAGCTTGCTTATGTAGCCTAGCATAGCTAACATGGTGTCTTGTGTGCAATATATTAAAATCAAGCTTTGTTATTGGGATGAAAATCTGAATTTTAGAAAGCACAGGTTAGCTGAGTTTCAGTGGTGCAGTTAATATTTTTATGTCACCAACAGCCAGCTGCCAGCCAGGCATGAGAGTTGCGCAGATTTTTATTTTTTATTTTTGTAACTTCTTAAAAAAACAACAAGCAATGTAAAAAGTTAAACTATACTTTAATATATATTCAGATTCTTTCTTTTTCATAAATGCACACTTGTGGTAACAATCATAAGGCCAACAGCAGGCAGTGATAATTGACATGGGTACAAAGCATAAACATTCACACAAAAACAATGGCGGCTCAGTACAATTTATGAAAAAAGGTCTGGAGCAAGTAGATTGTCATCTCAGTTGTCAAAGAGAAAGAAAAAAAATATGCAGTTTTGGTTAATTATTCTAATATAAAACAAAAGACCCTGGTCAACAGCCATGAACTTACTGTGTATTACATAACTTTGTAATAGGGTATCATGATTAAATATTTTTACATTAGACAAAAATAAAATCTGACTGTGTGATAATTTACTTAAACTAAAGTAAATTAAACTACAGTTTTCCTATGATGGAAAAACTGTAGAGAAAATCTGCAGACAAGACAGAGGCTGAAAACAGCCGAGGTTTATGAGAGTTCCAGCTGAGTCCCACATACAATACAGTGGTTCGGCCCTGTTGCATGTATGAGAGTGGGTAGGCGGTGTATTAATGCGCGAGTGGGTTGAAAACATTTTTCTGTTCGCCACTCTGTTGCCTACTACTTGTAAAGCATTTTGACTGAAACACACTCACACATTCACCCAAAAACAAACACTGGCAGGCTCAGAGGATAAGCAAATGTGAAAGGAACAAAACAGAATAAAACTTTAAAAAAACAACAAAACAGAAGGAGCGTTTGTATCCAGTGAACAGAAGATTGACAGAGTTGATTTATTGAACAACAGTATTAAAGTTTGAGGAGACAGTGCTTCTGCCCACGAGGGTTATTGTCTGCTGCCATCTTGGATGCTGCGCTGCCTGTTCACCAGCTGTGGTCCATCCAGTAAAGAACAAAGAGAAGCTTCCATCTCCCTGTAGGCCTCCATGAGAGCTCCAGCAGTTATACGGGAGAGGTATCGTACCGGCAGAAACGCAGAACAAAACTGCCCATCTCAGAGGTCGTTAGGTCACCAAACACGACAAACATTGTCAGAGACCATGTTGCTGCTTTTCTTGCAGTTGAATGCTTTGGCAAACTCTGGAAAATTCTGAAGGGAGCCAAGTACTCTAGAGTATACAAAGGAAACTGGAGTTAGCAAGTGAACTTTGTGTCAGAGGGATTCTGCTTTTTAAACTGTACTTTATGTCACAAAGTGCTGACTTCATGTCATTACCTGAACATCCCTGGACTGTGCACGTCTACTTTAATGGAATTAACGGCTTGCTCTGGTCGATGGGATCCACACCAAATCTTAAAAAGACATACAGGATGTAACATATCAGACAAGTACAGAGCTTCAGCAAATGTAATCGCTTATAGATACATAAGGTATACCACTAATTTACTGAAATATTGCATATCATTTTTGCAAAATAATACCAATTCGTACATTTTCTTTGTTTCTAGTTTTTACTAAAAAGCTCAGTGTGTCATTATACTCCTGCTATTAAACTGTTTTTCAATTTAAGGCAAATTGTTTTGCAAATTAAAGCAGGTCATAATTCACTTACAGTAAAGAGCCTCCAAGTAACTATTGAGCTACTCAGAATTAATTACGTCAAGCAATAATGATTAAAAATAAACATTTGTGAACTTTATTAAACCTGAATTCCAATTTTTTTCTATTGTTTGATTACCTGAGCAAAATTAAGAAAGAAGAGTTGATCATGTGAAAGGTCAATCCCAGGCAGTGGGGGCTCCTCTCCATGCTGCTTCACAAAGTTCTTGTATGCCTACAAAAAGACAAAATTATTTTATTTTACTCCTGCATTACAAAGCAGACTGTTGCAATGAACACCTTGATAATTCAGAGCTTAAGTTTGCAGTCAAAAATATGTGCTCTCTCTTTTTCAGAGTACAAACCAAACCAGAATTTTGAGACTCATTTCTAATTTCTGGGTTTAGTTTGTTTGGATTTCCTTCTGCTTGTAGTCTTGCTCTTTCTTGACCTTTTTCAGTCTCAATTTAAGATGCAGGTCTAGTCTTAACTCTTTAATTTTGAAAAGCTTCTTACATAATTGCTAAAATGTTAAAGAACTAATTAATGCCAAAAAGAGGTCACCCTCACAAATTGACTGTTCATTAATGTAGAAACATCACATTTCCCTAACAGACAATGTTGCCATTGCAACCTGGTCGTCCCAATATGAACTGGAGGAAAATTGAATTTTTGAAGAGCAACAGACCAGTCAGTAGTCAGACTGATCAAGCGGAAAAGTACAAGGTAATGATGACAAAGCAATTTCTCTTAGCATCTCTACTCAGTGAGAATGCATTACTGCATTTATTAAGTTCCTGTTAACGTTTTTCAGTCCTTAACTACTTCTGCTAACTTTATCAAAACGTTCAGTTTCTTCTGAAGTTTTGTGCTATATCTTTTGCTACTTTTTGGAAATACTTGCACTTTTGTGCAAATTTCAACTCCAATGAAATACAATAAACTCCTACAGAATTCTGCTAAAATCTGCTTTTTCGCAGCTTAATACTTCTGCCTACTTCAACCTAGAAACTCCATCCAACTTTTAATCAAGTCACAAGACTTTGAACTGTCTTCAAATGTCTTGGCTTTTTGATATCTCTTATGGATTTTCCACAGTTGCAAATTAAGTTTTGTGCAGATTTTTGACCGTTTTCAGGTTTACAATGTAATCCTATGGTGAAATTCTCTGGTTTTTTTTTCATGCTTTTTAAAAAAAAACTAAATGATGCTGTTCATACATATTTAACTGTACATAAATAATTTATGCATTAAAATGTAGCCACACGTGTCTGCTTTAAGGAACTATTATTATCATTCCTACATCTTACTGTTTTTTATCAAACTGTTCTGGAGAACCGACGTGCAACACCTTCTATTGCTTCAATGCATTTCTCCGTTGTGATCCTTTTCTGTGTCAGCATTCTGCTTGTCTACCTTTATGCCTTCTGCTTTTACTGGTTTTACTGTCTGCAAAGGTCATCTGCAAACTTTAATCAATTTTAGTACATCAAATGTGCTGCTTCTTCTGCTGAATTATGCTATATCTTTTTCTATATTTTACAATCACACTTTTTTAACAATTTCAGGTTGCATACAAACGTCTGCTATTTTTATTTTATTTTTTTGCTATTTTGATATATTAAACTTTTAAACATTTCCCAAATATTTCAGTTTGAATACAAATTTCTGCTTCTGTTGAATTATGCTATATCTTTGGCTAAATGTAACTATTTAGCAAAATATTTCTATCATGTATGACTGTAGCTTTCTTCTGCTTTTTCCCTACTTCTTATGCTTTGCTCTGCTTTTTCTTGCATATTCTGCAGCAATCATTCTGCATTCTCACAGCTGTTTCGCTAGGAACAGCAGTTTTTCTAGTTCAGAGTAATTATCTTGCAGCAATTTTTATGCAAAATTTATCTTCTCAGTTGTCGTCTCTCAGGTTCTTATCTACTGTAGCATTTTACATACAAGACAAGGTACATTTTTTTTTTATTTTTAAACATTTAAATCATTTTATAGGATTGGTTAGCGACCCTCTGATGATCCAGAGTCACAGGACCAGCAAACACATCTTCATACAACCTAACAAACATGTCAACATCCTGACAAAGAGGCTTCAACATTTTTTTCAAGTTGTATGAAGCAGCTCACATATGTGAACAAAAACATATTTTTTTACAGCGTCTCTTAAGTTCTTCACCTGGTATGCCTGTCGAATCCCTCCATTGTCAGCTATGTTCTCACCGAGGGTGTTGTTGCCATTCAACTAAGGAGAAAATAAAGAGTCCAGAATGCACAAGGGGAATAAGAGACTTGAAAGTTTTCCCTCCATATTTTCAGGAAACTGCACATATCAGTTTCTGAGTTATAAAAACAAACTACCCAAGGAATAAAAGAAGCATTGTTGAAAGGAACAGTACAGAGCAGGAAGGATAAAAGGAGAAGTACTCGTATGTCAACACAAAACACTGAATATACCTAAAGTTGAGAAAAGGTGAAGCTGCCAAACAGGCAACAAGAGTTCAGGTAAAGTCAATGAAAGTGAGGCTAATTGGAATTTTTCACGTAATGTTCCAAAAAAGTAGAAAACCAAGTGAACACACATGTAGACCATTAGCCAGGTCCCAGGAAAAGTTGCTGTACTGGTCAACGATGCACTTTGAGAGTTCCAGGAATCTGTGAATAGATTCAGGAGTCCACCAGTCCTTCAGATCACCGTCCTTGTCATAGTTACGACCTGCAGACACAGAACAAATGTCGGGCACTTAGACATGGAAATATTAACCGCAAAAACAATCAAATAATATATACTACAGGTATGACACCATTTTCAATTTAAATGTCATTATGCAGTTGCATTTTGCAACATTGTTCTTGTAAGCAAGTTAAAAATGTAGTTTTTTTTCAGTCAGCTGACAGGGAGTGTGACATAACATGTAACAAAGGGCAACATGTTCATCTATGGGCCAAACACCCAGAAGAAACCTTTGCACTTCCGCTGTTACATTAAAATGACTAAACCGTAAAAAGAGAAGGATGGGATTTTGTCATTTTGAAACCGTAAGCTTCTAATGGCAAAAAATGATTGTTAGATATTAGAATTTGTTTTTTGAGTAAATAATATTGCAGGTGACATACCTGTGGTGGAAAATAAGTTAGAGTACAATTCAAACACAAGAGATCGTATCCAAAAAAAAAAAAAAAACATCCAGAGGGCAAAGGCATAAGGTGAAACCAAGCTCTTTTATACAGTGGTACCAGTTACAGGGGGAAATCCATGTGTTCACAGACTAATGTAATCCAGCAAAATTGTAAGGAAGAACAATGAAGTAGAAAATTCTTACCATTGTCATCAAAGCCATGTGTAATCTCATGACCGATTACCATGCCAATTCCACCGTAGTTGAGAGATTTAGGCTGGCCTTTGCTAAAGAAAGGGGGTTGAAGGATACCAGCAGGAAACACTACAGACAGAGAAACAATTTTTAAATTTCAAAATATCTTAGGATTTATGTTTTGTGGCTGAACATAATTTCCGAAGCTTATTTGGTACCTATTTGGTTTTTACTGGCCGAGTAAAAGGCGTTGACAACAGCAGCTCCAGTTACCCATCTTGAAATAAAAAAATAAAAAGTATTAAACGATGACACTATGAAACTACATTGAGGCAAAGTAAAAAGCCTACTTGAATAAAAACGTGAAAAATTAACACACAGCTTTTAACACCCCAGGTTAATGTATGACTCTCTGCTGTTAAAGCTGAACTCTAAATGCATGCAGGAGTTTTTGTGGTATAAAGTGAAAACACTGCACAAAGAATAAATTAGTTAAACACTGTAGTAGTTCACTCTGCTAGGACCATGAATAATACAGGAGATTTAAATACCAAACCATGCACTTTTCATTTACACCACATCTGGAGTAAAGCTGGTAAATCCACCCCCTCCACCAAAAAGAAACCTTACTCCTCCTTGTTGACTTTGACTCGAAGTCTCCGCAGGCGTTTCTTCTGCACATACTCCAGGTTCTGTAGGATGTTTTCAAAGTATTCCTCTCCACTGTAGCTCAGCTAACAGTAACGCAGCCAGGAAAAAGTCAGGAGGATTAGCAGTGATGGAAGCTGTCAATACTCAGTCAAGTATTCACAAGAGTGACTCATTTTAGACAAAAATTCACTGGGATTTTTGCCTGAAATGAGGAAGGATAAGAAATGCAACTTTCCTGCAAATTTTCTGTTACAAAGAACTTAGTGAAATATGGTTAACAGTATTTTTTCATAAATACTCACATCTTTGTACTCATTGTTTAGATATTCGTCATTCATGATGTCTTCAGAATAACCAATGCGTTCACGGATAGCTTGGGCCTGAAAAAAAAAAAAGGAAAATGAGAATAAACCTGGTTTATTTGTTGTTCTAAATAGAAATAAGATGATTCTTGCAACTGATGTTCACACCTTCTCTTCAGCTGCTTTTTTGGTCTCTTCATCCATCCAGGAAAGGTCATCAAGGTTACTAATGAAAACTTCCCGAATGTCTTTAATCATCTCCTTCATCTAATCTCCCAACACACCAAAGAGAGAGCAAATGTCATAAGATGCCAATGATAGAACAAGAAAATGCATCATGAAAAGGTGCTCTGCTGTTTCTGTTGTTGTTCATCAACTCTAATTGGATCAGAAATAAGACAAATATAATTTATGTCAAACTATTAACAGAGTTCCTAAAATTATTAGGCTTTACATATCCACATATCAGAACGATTCAGACTTGCATAGTCATCTGTTGTTCATTATTTTGGAATAAGTGACTTTGTCGTGATCGTTTTAAAAATAACTCCTGTACAGAAATAGTGTTCAATTGGGGAAAAAAAGGATTCCCACCACTGTAGAACTATGCAAATATATAGACATACAACCTGGAAAAACATGCATAAAATTGAAATTCAGAAATGCTAAATAAACTAGACAAATGCATTATGTCTTACATTTGTTCGATTCTGAAAGTTCAGCAATTTATTTAGTTCAGTTATGTAAATCATTTTGGTTAGTCCAATTGATCTGAAGCTAGAGATATGTAGTGTAGAAAAGAACATGCATTTTTACTCTGAATGCACCATTCTTGCTCCAGATAGAATAAGGAAGGGAAGCAAAATGTGTGATCTTGCAACCAAAATAAGGAAAAACAACTTTATATCAATATAAAACTTATGTTGATTGATGCTATTGTGATTATATCTTGTTTTAAAACTAATATTACAAGCAACGTGTGCTAACCCTGTTCAGAGGGTTTTCTTTGTTTTTTTTTTCCCTGGAGGCTTTCCTGTAACTCCATCCTTTTTATAATGTCACCCCCAAGAGTTTCCACATTTTTAAATGCATTGCTACACACAAAGAATTAAATGAACTGAGACCTACTCTGAGACCACAGCAAGAGAAAACCCAAAAACCCCTTGTCTCGTCACATTAGTGGCCCCTTGCTTACTCATTGCATAAGCCTTTTAAAAAGTTGCGGTTTGCCACAAACTGGCAGAGACCACACAGAGATTTTTCCAACAAGCCTTTAAGGGAGATTGTTGTGTGTGGATGCAGGCAGTTTGTATAAATTTCCCAATAAACCATCACTGATTTCATCTTAGTTTTAGAGCGAAAGCTTCCACTTAGGTGTATTTATATCAGATAAGCGTGGTGAGTAGCTGAAACTAGAGCTAAACAAGAAACATGCTGCTTATAGGCTTGGAGTTCTTCATTTATCAATTAATGTTCTAGTACACTGAATGTCTCTTGACCGCCGATAAGTGGACAACGGAGACTGTCTGGTGATGATTTGGATGACTAATCAATTACTTCCCACAGGACAATGTATACTTTTTAAATTATGATCTAATTGATGTACAAATTTCCTCCTGGAAATAATTTCTTCCAGTTATAATGAAAAAGATTCATGCCTTTAATATCAGAATTCAAATTGTTTTTTTTCTCAATTCAGACTTTTATGCAGATGGGCAGCTTGGCAGAAACATTTCAATCACAAGGATGCAAGTTACGGAGGAAAAACTTTCTGGAGGAACATGTTGGATATGAGCCATTTTTTTCATGGCTGAGGAATCTCCAAAGACACCCATTCATTAGTAGAAGAGCAAAAGGCTTTCCTGGTGCCCATCTGCTTTAAAGAGTATTTCTGAGAAAAAAAATAAAAATAAGAGGAGGCCCTAATCCTCCTCTGTACAGATACTCTGTTGAAATGAAAATATTCCAAACAGGGTTGCATCAATAATCAAATAAGTTCATTATGGTTGCTTATTGACAAAACAGCACTCCCTGCTGAGAGATTGTGTCATGAAGTATTTATGTTTGTACTAAAATATGTGTCAGCTGTTGGTCAGCTCAGACTTTATGCTGGGTCATGTACTTGAGGAACGGGGGAAGCAGATACGTATGTTCAGAGCAGCCATGTGTCACTTCTCACTTAACCAAATACGCACACACACACACACACACACACCCACACACACACACACACACACACACACACACACACACACACACACACACACACACCCCCCCCCCCCACACACACACACACACACACACACACGCACCCACACACAGCAGGGAAATGGGATCTGTCTGAGTAGGCAAACATCTTTATGGAAGTTGAGATGCTTAAGAGTTACGACGGTGTCACTCATACACAAAACAATATTGCAGTGAAGCCTGCGTTATGCACATGCACAGAGGCACAGAGTTGAGATTTGCAGCGTAGGTGGTGTGAGCATAATAACAAGGTCGCCTCATTCAGCTGCTTCCAGTGGATGCAAGCAAGATAACACTGAGGCACAGACACGAGACAGATGACAAACTCACAGATGTCTCTCAAACTATCTTGTTCTGTTTATGAATACATGAAAACGCTCACTAGTTTTATGTCATCAGTTCAGATTGTCAACATAAGAGAAAGCTGTTTAATAAAGCTTCTTTAATTTGGCAAAATTGGTCCCGTTCAGCCTCAACCTACCAGCTCTTTGCTCTTCTCAGAGAAAGCCTCCTGCACATAGAGCCGTCCCACAGCTTTGTCCAGGTTGTTGTTGACATACAGCGCACACTGTCGCCACACGGCCACCTCTGATGTTGTACCAGACAGAGCCTATTTGGAAGGTAACGACAGAAAATTTGTGAATGAAGGAGAATGTTTATGGCAAGACCTTTTTCATGTTCAAATGAAACCAAGATCCATTTTAGGAAGTGAAGCAAAAGAAAAATGATGGGTTATAAAAAAGTTCAAAATCCATACGCATAAAAGATGAAGGGAATCTGGCCATGACAGACTGGAATCCAAACCAGTCCATTGCAGCACTGGTGCTATGTTTAGGGTCATTGTCCTGCTGGGAGGTAAGCCTCCTCCTCGAGCCTTTTACTGCCTTTTCTAGGATTTATTCTAGGAATGCCCTGTACTTTCCTCAGTTGATTTTAACCACCCTCCCCTGCTCCTGTTCAGTCATCTCAAAAGAGCTCAAGGCCAATAGTCTCTCAACAGATTCTCCCACTTGAGCCAATGGACTTTTGCTGCTCCGCCAGAAATACCATGGACTTTCTGTTTCTTTAACTAATATTTCACATTATTTTGCATCTTCCGAAGGTCATTATTACTTGTACTGGATATCTTTGGGGAGGCATCAGAGTAAAGTCGGCTGAATACAAAATGCGTACCTACATTGTGCAAGTCATGTATAGTTTTTGTGCACTTCTGCACTATTTTGTTCTAGTCACATAAAATAAGTTTTCGTAATGCGACAGTGTGAGAAAATTTACTAAAGCCTCTGCAAGACCCAGTCGTGAGACACAGAATATGTTCCTGCTTTTTATACTCATCTCACGTATTCATTAAAATTTGTGTGGCATCAAAATGAGAAGCTGTTGACAGGTTTTAATAAAAGGTAACATGATTCTACCATCATTAGTACTTCAATTCAACCTGTACTGTCATCGGACAAATAAAGGACAGAGAAAATCAGAGAACTTCATCATGAAATAATAAAAAAAAGCATATTAATTTATGACAAAGATGTCTTTCTTGTTTTAACATTTCAGAAATTAATGTTTTATTAATTTCAACAGCTTTGAAACGCCATCGTATTTTTGTTTTTAATAATTACAGCTAACCACTGTACTATAACTTTCCATTTTGATATTGTTATAAAGACATTGCGAGAACATTCATGAAAGTAAGTTTTTCCAAATCAACATGTCGGGGTAATGTCAGGTTGTGTACCTTGCGGAAAGCTTTCCTGGTGTCTCTGTAAGCTCGGCTCAGTCCTACTACCATGGTCATAGCAAACCGCCAAACCATGTAGTTTTGCAGATCTCTGAAAAAAGGAAACGCAGCAAGGTCAAGGAGATCGACATAATCCTGCAGTGATCTAACAGCAGTGTGTGACCAGATTTTTCTGACCGCATCCTGTGACTCATCTTGACAGAAACGCACACAATTACTGCAATCGCTCTGAAAAACAATAACCATCTAATTTTGTATAATCTTACACACCTCTTAGTGTATTTGGCTAATACAAAGTTGAGTCTTCTGTAATAGTTTGGGGAGTAGTTGATGATTTTCTCTGATTCAGGAACGCTGATGTTCACAGTGTCCATTATCTTAGCCGTGAAGTAACTCCAGTTGAATATCTTCAGATTGAGTCGAAATACACACACAAAAAAGTTAAAGATATTTAACACTAAGCTGAAATAATAGCTCAGAAGCTAAGATATTACAATTACCTGAGAGTCAATTTCAAGAGTGAAGTTTCTGTTCATCTCCGCCAGTTCCATCTTGTTGTAAAGCAACACTGGGTTGTTCCGATCTTCTGGTGTGTCGGTGGCCTGGGAGAAAACAAAAACAACAAAATATAAGAGTGGGATTTAAAAACTCCATCAAAAATCTTGTTTCCCCAACACATGTACGCTCTCAGTACATCTCCAGAAGCATGAAGCACTTTCAGCCCAGGAGGCCTCAGGTCTGTAGCTGTCAGAGTTTGAATGGTTTACTTGCTTTGTAATAGTGAGCAGCAGAGTGGAGAGAAAGCACAGCATGTAAGCAACAGGAGACAAAACAGGGTTACAAATCTGTTGATTCCTAGGAAAATATTGGTGTTTGACACATCAACAAGCTTGTTTCAAAAAGACGTTCATATTTAGCAAAGTATTTTTTACAATACGCTTTTTCTGAATATGCTAGTATACTGTGACGATTAAGTGCACCTTACTTTCCAAGGCTGATTAACTCCAAGACAAACATAGCCCATAGCCTGGAGCCCAAAATGATGCCAGTCACCTAAATGCCTAATAAATATAATGCCCAAGGGCTTTATAAATACTAAATGGTCACAACTCTGTTATAACATTTGCCTGTTCCACTACTTTAGCTGCATTAGTACTGCAAAAAAAAAAAAGAAAGAAAATTAGCATGTATGAATTAAGATGGTAGGCTTTTATAGAAACCGTAAAAGGTTAATGTTATTTTCCCCACAGAGATCTCTTGACAAGACAAAATTAAGAAGCGGCTCCAACACAGTTGCTGTTTACACAAACACTAATGTTAGCTCATGCTAATGAACCTACCTGCTGCTGCTAATGGCAACAGTTTCCATCAGCAGGAACACAAACAGACAGTGCACAGGAAAGACGGCAGGCCAAATTATCATAATAGACAGGACCTTTAAAACATATTTAATGCTTCAACTCTTATGTTATTTCTATAGAGTACTGTGGATTTCTAAGGCAAATCTGATCTTGACCAACGTCTGCAATCCTATGGCTAATAGTGTTTAAAATATAAAAATTTAATTATGTGGTGAAAACCTTTAGATTAATTTGAAATATTAAAAGAAAAAACCCACAAAACTAGAGCTAGTCATCCACAAAGGACTCAGCAGAGCCACTGCTCCTTCACTTCAAGAGGAGCCAGTTGAGGTGGTTCGGACATCAGGTCAGGATGCCTCCTGGACGCCTCCCTGGTGGTGTGTTCTGGGCACGTCCCACTGGGAGGAGTCCCTGGGGAAGACCAAGAACATGATGGAGGGACTATGTTTATCGGTTGGCCTGGGAACATCTTGGGTTTCCCCAGAGGAACTGGCCCAGGTGGCTGGGGAGAGGAAAGTCTGGACCTCAGGATGCTACCCCCGCAACCCAACTACGGATATGCGAAGAAGATGGATGGATGGAAATCTATAACTGCAAGCAGTTACAACGTGTTCCTCGTCTGACCCGGCACGTCCACCTCCTTTCACTAGCTCCCCACATGCCTGTCCTTTGACCTGGGCTTCGCCGGCACGCTGCATGCCTCAACAAAGTCTGCAATTTTTCAGAACAGTTCGGTCTAGAGAAGCAGGTCAGTCCAGGAAGTCGTCAATATACAATTAGCCATTACGTTCTAACAGGGCAAAACAATCAAACAAGCAAAAAAAAAAACTACTGCAATTCCTTATTTTGTTCCTTCTTTAATATATATTGTGCTAGGTTTTTATTTCAGAGTTGATCCTAGATAGAAGGTGAGACTGGTTTTGACTAATCTTAATGGCTCTCTGCTGAAACAAAATATCCAGGCCAAAATGTTTCGCACATTGGCTCATCTGTCGGAGAATGTTTCTAAGAATCAATTTTGTTGGTGTGATTTGTAGTTTTTGAATTCAGATGAAACATGTATTTCCTACCACAGCGACACCTATAGGTGAATGTGGCTGAATATTTGTATCTGACAAGTAGTGGAAACCAAATCGAAGTCGTAGTAAGTTTCGGGGGTATGCTACAGTGCACGTTTCAGTGGAGAAATAGAAGAAGAATGGAAAAACGGAGTAAAACAAAAAAGTTCCCTGCTCCGCTGGGTGCAGGCGAACCGCCATGCCCTACATTGGTTCGCTCCTGCAGGAGCCCTAATCATTAAAAAAGTAATATCCAGTATTTAGTATATGGATAAAAAGAAAGAAAAATAAATTTTACATTGTAGAAATAATGGTAAAAACAATTTCACATATCCAGAAAAATTCAATCTAAGTGACAGAATTTGTGAATATGGATATTTTGAGCTACAAGCCAAATATAAATGAGTGACAACACAAGCTGTTTTAAGGAAGACTGCTCAAGTATATTAAATGTTTATTATGGATATAAAGAAACTACAATATAGAACCACAGATTAGAAGAAGAGCTATAGTTTGATTGTATGTCTGAACCTTTAAGAACAAAAATAAAGATTTCAGTCTGAAAAGCCCATGGATACATGATGCTTTTTATAGCAAGCTTGTGCATGATGCCTCAGCATGGAAAGAGTTAAAAGCGTGAAAGTCACACCATTTATCAGTCTCAGTCCCCTGACTATGCTCCTTGAAAGTGCAAACATCCACAGCAATAAAATCAAGAAATATGTCTGCTGAAGAAATTGAGAAGATTGCAGTAATGAATCATTTTACAGAAATGTTGCACTTGTAGCAATAAGCAGAAAATCAGTTAAAAGCAGTTCTTAGATAACAGCTAAGCAATAATGACAAAAAGAAAAAAAAAGGACAAAATGGGTGCCCTCTTGTTTGCAGTTTGTCTTATGGCTCGATAGAAATAGAAACACCTCAGCTTAATATGTCTTGCAAACATTCGGTGAAGCACCAACAGCAGGATCCAGAGTTATAAAAAAACACGAGTCGGGTGCATTGCAATGCATTCAAAGCTTCAGTGTAATGAACTGATAAAATGTGATTATTTAAATCTAGATAATGGTACAAAGATGGAGCTGCTTACCATGGCTTACAACTCATTTGGGTGTGAAGATGGTCTGAAAAAGCCGTTTACAGGACAATGTCCGTTTTCAAACAAGATCTTAATTATACATGAGATTTTTGCTGTGAATTTAATGAACAGAGATAAGCTCGAGTTACAATTAGGCGACAAGAAATGTGTCCGGCTTACAGGGACCAGAATAAAGTCTCGGCTGAGGAGGCATCGAAGGCCAAAAACTAAAGTCTGCATTGCCACAGAGAGAGAAAAAAAAAAGGGTCCATTTCTCAATTTCCCAAAGGACCCACAAAGGTGTGATGCAGAAGAAAGAAAAAAATATTGGATGCCAGCGGTTTTATGGCTTAAAACATTTGAGCTGTCAATGGTCCACAAAGCTGCAGCAAGTGCAATTTGTTCAAGTTTATATTCAAAGGACCTGCAAGAATTTAAACAGGTACACAGAGCGTTTCTCCCGCTTGAGCCCCACACCCACCGTAGCGGCAGTGAAAGCAAGCGCCAGATTTTACATAAAGCAGGGGTTTCCAAAAGCAGCCAACAAGAGCTTGCGCGTGTTTTAGTTCTCTCTGCTTCAACACACGTGAATCAAGTGATGGCTTGTTAGCAGACCTCTGCAGAACACCGACATGTTGAGGAGGTCGTAACCAAACATGAGGGATATCGACTCTTGAGGACAGACTTTGGACACCTCTGGCATAGACCTTCTTAATTTCTTTTACAGCAAAGATATGTCTTGTGGAAAGCCTGGTATATCACAGGATATATATCACAAGATATATTGTAGGGATATTCTTGCAAATTGCCTGCTTTCTGCTGCACAGCATGTCGCTTTTTATTTTCACATCGCTTAAATCTTTAACTGTGGTTACATTTCCGAAGGAAGAAAATGTTCGACTGCGTCTAAGTCTGCATTTCTTGATCTATAGCACGAGCGGGGCACATCTTGTATTACATGACAGCCATGGCAAATCCCTTCTCCCCTGGAGCTACTAACAGCAGGAACACAAGCTACCGATAAACGAGCCTTGTTTATGTGCTGAAAACGGTGAATCTCTCAAACAAAGCAGCTGGTGCATTCTTACAGGCTGAGTGTTTCTGCTTAGCCAAGTCCACACATCTTTTAACCCTCCTGCAGTCTTAGCGCAATGCTCAGGAAGAGTGCAGCAAGCGGCACGGTCAGACAGCCGGGCAGTAGGAAGAAGGTATCCCATCAGACCGTCAATTCCCAAAACCAAACACACACAGGAAAAAAAAGCTCAAAAGCACATACAGGGTCAGTGCGACCTCACACAGTAAAAAGCTTTAGGGGTCCAAATGCTCTGATCTCTTCAGACCACAATAGGGTTCAATGTAGTCACAGAAACCGTATCACACCAACATTGAGTCTGAATCTTTGAGCATAATAGTCAAAGATCCTGAAACCATTTTTATTTGTAATATGTCAAACTAAATTGTATAAGGAAAATTTAGTTTTTTGCTACATTAGGCATTCAGAAGCATGTGGCAAATAATCCATGTTTAATTACTGTGTAATGCTACAACGTTAACCTACCTTTCACTCAGTAGAATAGTTGCATGTTTTTGCTGACATTGCACGCTGCAAAGGATTTTGGTTATTTTGGGTTTGATCAGTGTCAGTAAGAGTCTTTAAATGAGTTCCAAATCCAAAGTAAGGGACATTTTGACAACTATCTGACCCTGAAACTAGGCACAACCTCTTTGTTTTAATCACGGTTGTCCTGATGTGAGAAGCTCTCAAAGTAGCACCACGGAGACTAGCTAATGTTTGGACCTTTAAAGCAGCTCAAGCCTTATTCTGATGGAATTAGCATGTGGTGCCTTGGTAAAAAATATTGTAGTAATTACAGAAATTGTCTGTTTTCAATCCTTTGTGCGGATTAGTCTGTCAGTCATTTGTAAAGGCCACTCAGTCACTTTACAAATGACTGAGTTCCCACTGAACTCTGAGGTCCTGTGATAGTTCTAGTCCAATTTGAATGAATAGGCATTTACGTGATTTCTACAGAAACGAACGGGATCTGTTACATAATTAGGCATTTTTGGTTTCCTGGGTGCATTTTTATTTGCTTTTGTCTAGAATGAGTCCCAGGCCTTGAAGACCTGTAGTGTACAGCATAAAAAACTCCTACAAGGCTGAAGAGGATGAGCAAAATCACATGCAAAGTAGTAAGAATCATTTTCTTCTGTTTGTAATTTCTGCCATACAGCTGGCTGACGCTGGCAGTGACACGACATCGAGCTGTGGCCATGGCCCGAACAAAAGGTTTACCGTTTTAATGTTACACAATATGCCGCGCAGTCCATCTGGGAGAGGTCTGTAAATCTCGGGCTTCAGTTGGTCCGAAGCCTGAGATTTTGCTAAAGTGACGTGAATATGCCACATAAAAAGCAGATGTTGGTGATTCATTTATTTAATTCACAGGGTGGGTCCCGAGACAAAGCTTTTCCTGTCCCAATAGGGCTTTAAATGAGATTTTGAGATCCCCTCTCCCCAACCCTTAGTCAGGTTGAAAGAAGTGTTTGTGTCTCTTTTCACCTAATTAAAATCATTAAGGGAAACTGAGTGTGATGAATAATGAAGATGTCTTATGAATAAATCAATAAATAATACCCAGAGATTGTTTTTTTTAATCTTCGTCCTTAATTTAGTGCAAAATGTTTCAGCTTTGGTTTGACCAATTCACCTACTTTAGGTATGAGCAACGGATTATTAGCATGCAGGAAAAACATGCTGTGAAAGTCCTTTAGATAGTCAAAGAAAAGAGCAAACACCAAAACGTGCGTCACATTTCAACTTGAGTGAGCTGAAAGAATAAACGTATGCTCACATTGGCGATGTCCCTCTCCAAGTCCACAACTCGTGTCACCTCTTCTCTTATGTGGGTTTCGTTGATCTCCAGTCCCCGGTCAGAGCGAATCAGCTTCGCCAGGTCAAACATGAACTGCTCGTAAGCTCGACATGCCTGCAAAACAATTGTTAACAGTAGTTGTTGCATAATAACAAAAGGTTTCTCCTCGCACCAGTGCACAGACTAACTATTGCTGTCGCTGCGTTTTGGTAATCAAATCAACGGTTCACAATCAGCTGTAAAGTAAAACCAGAACAGAGGACGTCTGTTACAGTAACAACACTTGGTCTGTCTTACAAATACTTTTCCCCCATTTTTTATTCACAACAGACCTCTGAAAGGCAATATATTTTCCTTACAGTTTAACCCAAACATTCTTACTACTGCATTTAAGCAGTGCAAAAAAAGTTACTTGTTATAGTGATGCTTTTCATGGGCTGGGCGATCTGGCTGTAAAACCAGTTTCTATCAGTCGAAAGACAATTATCAATATACTTATTCACTAACATTTTGCGTTCCAATTATTTGACCTGCTGCCAAACTGGTAGCCTGAGATTTTCCTTTTTATCCAGTTTTCACTCCACGCCGTTCCTTTTTATTTTGAAATAAAATACTATTTTAGGCAAGTTAGAAGGAACGATGGCAAAACCTGAAACAGCTGCTGCGCAGGTTACTCATCAGGTTGTTGCTAGGTAACCAAAGAGCAAGTGAGTGAGTTGATGCCACCCGCAGTTATTGATCGGCTGTGAGAGGTTCAGAAGCCGTGGCCTTTCCTATTCCTACATCTCCCAGAATGCTGCGGGGTTCTGAATCGGAGTTCAGGGAATATTTTATATATTGGATATTCTATCGGATGTACTAGCTATTAATATTGATCTCCTGTCTATCATCAGACATGTTATTGATTCAAATTTTCAGCCAGAGGCTTTATGGAAAACCAGCTTTCCATGTTAACTAATATGTCAACAAAATAAACCAACTCAAGCACAAATTAACTTTTTGAACTGATTTGGCTGCGAGTTAATTACACATGACTGCAACATTTCAGCACACCTCTGCATAGGGACCCTCGCAGACATAGTAATCTCTGGACAAGAGGCCAAGGGTTGTTTGCTGGTCAAACTGGCAAAGACAAAAAATAAATAAATAAATAAAGACAATATTCAAGTTGCTGGATAAAGAGACAGAGGTACATCTGAACAGAACATAAACAACAAGTATTACAGCACACAGTTATAACATATACTAAGACATCCACCCCTTAGATTTTTAAGAGTTCATTTCCATTTGTTTTAAGGACTGTAGATTTCAGCTGGTAAAAAATATGAAGTTTTTGTTCAGACTACAAAAACAAAACAAAAACATTTATGCATGAAAGAAAAAAAGATATCCCTAAATGCCTCTTCCAACTATAAATAACAAATTGAGTGGAAAAATTAGGTGTATGAGGAAAATGCACTCAAGAAGCAAGGATTGGCACAGTCTGGAATCATGACCATTATTTTACTCGGTTTGTCCAACTGAGATTTAAATATCTTGTTGGCATGAGAGACTTTGCCAATAATTAAATAAAATGATTGCTAAATCATTCAGTATGTCTGATTTATCAACTACCTGACTGCCATCAATCAGCACACAAAATGGAAATAAACGTAATGGTTGAGGACGATTGTTTAATCGTTTTTCAAATTTTGGGGATCTTTGTGACAAAAAAGAAAAAAAAATGCTTCAATTGTTGTTCACTCACTCTGTCGAAATTAGTAAAATAAAGTAACACACTTAATTCAATCACACCGAGATGCGCCTTAAGGGGTTTTACAGCCGCAAGCTCAATACGTACATGAATGATGTATGAAGTGGAGTCTCTGTCATCGGTGCCAACGAAAAAGTTAACCAGAAGTTGAGTTGCATATTTCCAATTTAACCTGGCAATGACATCCTCTAACCTCCAGGTTTTCCCTGAAGAAATAAGATCGGAGGAAGGAGGACGAACGAGGGAAGAACTGCAATAAGTGATTTATAGCATGATGGCAGCGAGGGGAAGATGGGTAACAGTGCAATACCATAGTCAGCCTCCCAGTTGTCCACAGCCATGGGCCACTCAAAGATGTCTGGCAGCATGTCGAGCAAAGGAAGTCCTCCTCTCAGCTCTATGAAGCCTACAGTGCAGCATTGATGAAGGTTAAATGGAAATTAGCTTCCATGCTGTAATTTTACACAAACTGAAAAGTAGCAACATTTACTAATCAGTTTCTGGCTCATTCCTTCGAAGTTGAAATGTTTTGAAATGGAAAATGTTGTAACTTTACTACATCTCTATTTCAAACAGAAATCTACAAAGGAACGTTTTGTCTCCTTGGTTTCTACTTATAGATTGAACCCTTTTGTTCAGTTTTGAAATTCTGTCGGATAGAAAATGCGTATTCAAGTTCTCCAAATAAGGTCATAAACTACCACAACTTGAAATAACATTTTCTGGACAAGATTTCCAAGTTCCAGATCAAGCAAAAAGTAGTGGGTAAAAAGTATTTTTAAGATTGTTGGGTGATCATTACAACATCTAGATTATGCATGCAAATATTATGTGCAAGTTATATACAAAATACAAATATGATTCTGTTTGTTGTATTTAATATTGTACTTTTTATCTTCAAACTGAAACAAACGCACAACCTTCAACAGCTGCACAAAGTACTGCCTATACAAAACATAACAGTTTATCTAAAGTGAACTAGTCCATTCACATCGTATGTCTGCTGACTCACTCTCGTTTATGCAGGACTTGTAAAGTGTCTTTGCCTTGGTGAGAGCAGCAGCCTCCCTGTCCACCGTCTTTTCAAGGACACCTGCAAATAAGCACAAACAAAAGCACACATGGAAAAAACGTACAAAGGTGAAATCAGACCACCTGTCGAAATTGAGAGGGAGAAGAGGAGGAGTGGGAGTAGCATACGCCTGCCGGAAGACGCAGAACTGTTTTTATGCGAGGGTTCAAATGAATTGATGGTGCTTATATTACCAATTTGTCCCCGTGTCACGAAGAGCCCTGGAAACTAAAGCAGTCATTGCAAAACCCTGGCAAAGGATTGCAGTTATTGACAAAGGCAATATATACATTTTTTAAATGGCAGAGAATTAAAAACATTGTTCACTTTTTTATGAAAAAAATGGAAAAATGACTTCAAAGTTGAATTTCTCAATCCAGGTTCTGTTTTTTTGTTTTTTTTTAATTATATTTTTGGCAACAAAACTAAAAGGACACACCAAGTGTTTGTAGATTGGAGCTTTGAAGAATCAAAAAGCCTTATAAAGGAGTACAAGTTTCCACAAAAAACAATGCTTTAATTTCCATCTTCCTATAACAACAAAACACGTCATGAATCCAAGCAGACTTTATAAAGCCTTTGTGAAGATTTAAAACCATTAGCTCTCCTGTGATCTTAAGCTATGTGGTTATTTTTTACTCTGAGTGGCCTGGTGATCCCGCACTGACCCCCCGTGCACTTTAACAATTCTTTTTTTTTTTATGTTATTTTTTTGTCGTTTTGGGAACTGATGGTGTGACGGGACACAAGCCCCGCCCCCCACACACAAACTTCCCTGCTCTCCGGCCATGACATCTGCTGCACTCTAGATGGTTAAAATGGATGTGGTGCTTTTGGTGGTTTAGGGAAATGAGAGGGAGGACAAAAACAAAAAAAAAATAAATAAGAAATTCACACTCATCCTGAAGATGTCCCGTCACTTCAAAAGCCCCTTCAGACTTCAGGGACTGCACCCAGTCAGTTTTTTTTTTCTTTCTTCCTTTCATCAGCCAGTTCTCCTCACAAACTTTGTCTGATGCTGCTAATCCTCCAAGCATTCTCAATCCATCTTTATCTCTGAATCCAAGAAGGGTGAAATAAGCTACCAAAGTGCTTCCAGAGCCCAGAGCAGCATCAATGTTCTGCCTTCAGCTTGATTTCAGAGGCCTAACCTGTACTTTTTTTTTTTTTTTTTTTTTTTTTTGCCGTACTTTGAATTGGATGTCATTCACCTAAAATAAAAAGCTCCAACTAAAGTTTCCTGCAAAAGTGGAATCTATCTTAAAGTTTTTCCAATTCTTTTAAGTTGCAACCAAAAACTTTTACAAATAGAAATCTAAAGTAGGTGGCATGCATCTGCATTCGGTCCCCTTTTTTACACTAATACCCTAAAGACAGGTGGAACATGCTATCTTAGGATTAGTAAATAAAATCTATTTGTGTGCAATGTAATTGTATATCTACACATGTTCTGAGAACAACTCAGTGATTGGCTGTTGACAAGCTTGATGGACAAACAGAAGAAATATAGCAGGCAATTCAGGGATAAGGTTGGGGAAACGTTTATAGCAGGGTTCAGTTAGAAAACAATATCTTAAAGTGTGGCACAACTGTGAGCCTACCGAGATGTGGTTGTCTGCATAAGCTGGCCGGCCATGGAGGGCAATGATCAATAATCTGACTCTGGAGCAGCTGAAAAGATCCACCACTCGGGTGGGAGACAACTGATGATCCTCAAACAAATCTGGCTTTTCAGAAAGACATTAGAAAAATGCATATTTGTTTTGGGCTTCAAGTCATGTCGACTAAACAGCAAACATATCTGCTCATATGAGACGACGTGAACTTATTTACCTTTATTAGAGGCACACAATACGTTTATTTTCTGTGCTATTTTCAGATCCAACTCAGTGAGTGACCAGCCAATCATCACATGCTGTTGTGTGTTCATGCCTTGGCCATATGCACTGTGGCACCATGCAGCTTAGCTAGGTAAGAACAGTACGGCGGACTAAAAGAGACGCGAAAGCTAAACACCTTATGTAGAAGCAAACAGGCAGTGGGACATCCAGTCACCAAGCCAAAGTAAAAAAGAAATGCGCTTCGTTTAAGATGGAATGGCTGTCAGAGTTTGAGCAAATAGAAGAACAGCACGGTGGAGTGACGTGTCAAGGAGGCAATGGGGACCTCATCAGGTGATGGCAGAAAAACTGGTGAGATTAATCTTTTTATTGGCAAGCGATGTGATCACACGGACGCTCGTTTTGCAGAGGATGAATTAAAGGAGTGAGCTCAGACATCAGTTTTGACGATGGATCAGCAGACATTTCAGGCAAAGTAGCATGAGGATATTCTCCCCCACCCACAGTATATGGGAGGCCATTAACAGTCTTGCTGAAATCAAGAACGTAATGAAGGAAAAACTTAAACAGGGGTCAATAAGCACATGATGGCTGCAGCACTTAGATGTGAGGACATGGAGGAGATCTCGCAGCCGGTGGATATTTGTGCTGCATTTCAAACATCCAGTGCTGATTGTGAAAGAGGATTTATATAAAAAGCAAACTAATGGAAATTGCTGATGTAATCTGATTTTTTTAATAAACCATGCAACTTGCTAGGATCCCAGGTTTATAACCAGTGTAATACTGGTGTGTGGCATGTCTGATGTTGCAACTGAGGACTCATAAATTTGCAAGGGACTTCAAAAAAAAAATCTCCTTCCATGTTTACATTTCTGTCGCTGATAGTGTTGCATAAAGACGCCGTAGAAGGAATGCAAAAAATAGCAACGCACAGTAGCACAAAAGTGATTCCGATAAGTGACTGTAGTCTGACTACTGGATTTGAAATAGCAACGTGCTAGATTACTCGTTACTGAAAAAAGTGGTCCGACGTCAAGGCATTACTGACATCACTGGCCCGGACACATGACAAATTAGAGGGAACATTGCTGGTGACATAAAATTCCAGTAAAAGACCCCGGTGTATGCAATATGGGAAAACATGCAAAAGGTCAAAGGGTTCAAAGTGTGAAACATTTTGCATTTCCCTTTAAATAAGTAAACTTGTATTAGCCTGACAAGCCTGGAGCACCAAAGTGTACTCTACACTAATTAAAACAAACTAAAGAAAAACAAGGCATTATTCCAGTTCCAGAGCCATCTCCTGAAAAATGAAACCATTTCTAAACAGGCCATTTTACAGGGCAGTGTTTGTATTTCAGCCAAGTGAAAGACGGGGCTCCCTTCTCCTGGGAGCCACAGCTCCACAGATGTGACAGTAAAAGGCCATTTAGAAACAAGCGGAAACACCAGTGGTTGATTTTATTGCCTTGGTTCATTGCCTGCTGAAGACCTGTTGTGGGCAGAAAGATGCCAGTTGCATCTGCCTCGGGCGAGTGTTTTTCCAGCAGTCAACCAAAAGGAATGAACAACGCTGTGGTGGAAACCGGCGCAGCTGAGGGGGGAAGGACAGCAGGACTTTGCCTGTGCAGAGTTGCATGGTTGGGTTTGCGCAGCATCTCCAACAGGAGCTGCCATTCGTTAAGTGGAACACTACATAATGAAGATCAGTGAAGGTGAATAGAGAAACATAAGAGATTTTTAGAAATGGCAAATGTTCTAGTAATTGTAAAGGTCTGGGTCTTTATTTATTCAGTCTAGATAAATCAGTGGTTTCATTAAAGCTTTTCTAGCACTAGAACAAAGGTGACAGTCATAACTTAATAAATGTGTACAAAATCTTTAACTTATACCCAATCATACCAGAAGTGCCACTTTTCATTATCTAAAAACATGCCTCAGAACCAGTGATTAAACCGAGTTTTAGGCATGTATGAACACCGACATTTAGGAACAAAGCTGTAAATACGAGTCATGTGAAACAGAAGCAGGCAACGGTTACAGTTTTTCACAGAACTTGCACTCAGAGTTGTGCTCAAGTCACCAAAAAACTCAAAAGTAGACGCATCACATGACACCCGACTGTGATGCATTTTGAAAATAAATGCAAATGGTGAAAGACAATCGTCTCGTACTCTTAATTAGGACGCTCTGCTAATCCCAAGGAACTCCTGATTCCTCTTTGTCTGCCATCTAATTTTGCCAACCAAACCCCTAGAAAGCCATAAGTGTGTTTTGCTTGGTTAATTATTAACCAGTAGCATGATCTGCTCTGCAAGCTGTAATTAGAATAGACAGCTCAAGACTGTCAAAATATATGATGAAGAAGGCAACAAAAACACTAGAAAACTTCAAGACACTCAAAACACAAAATCTCTGAAACAGAAGAACAACCAGACAGAGTGCAGCATTAGCGTCAGTATTTCAGAAAGCTACCCTGGCGTACGACCGTCAGTGGGAATGAAGAATAATTGGAACCAAGAAAAGGTTTTGCTCTTGTCTAGAGTGAAGAAAGACCTTACAGAAGGGTGCTAAACATTCACAACATTCAATAGTATTTTTGAGGCCAATCGTGTTTCGTTTTGAAAAACTCCGGTTGGGATAAAATATTAGTTGCCATTAGGAAACCGTGAGCAGCTGCAGCAAGAGAAAACCTGATCAAATGTAGCGGGTTACTGTAGTGCATCGTTAAAAACCATTTAAGCAACTACACTGAAGTAGCCCGGTGTTACGGATTCTGTGTTTTCCTCCATCTCTTTTACCCTCTTAAAAATTTCACGAGGGATTGAAGTGTGGATGTCAGGAGCTGAAAGATTATATGGAAGCTAATTTTGTGCAAACAACCGGTTCCTATGTCAAAACACTTATAGAAAGTAGTTTAATAGTACATACATTCACAGAGAAAATGTTTGGTTCAGCCTATGCAGTTGGGTACGCACACAGACAAAAAAAAAAAAAAAACAGACGGCGCTGATTTGAGTGTAAATAAATGAAGGCCGTTTGTGAAGAACTAAGTGACCAAAGTCTCTTTCAACATTTATTACTTGATTGAAATCGATCCAGGACTTAATGTTTGTCCCACTGTACAAAAATCTGATATTTTTCTTCCCTTCTTTGAATTTTCTAGTAGTTGCTGCC